GGGGGGGGGGGGTGGTGGGGTGTTGCTCAGGGTTTACAAATGCCTGATGGCATTTTACCAGTCACATCCGAATGCTTTAGGATAACCCTGGTACTTGACTTAAAACGATTAGCATGCTCAAACGGTTTATTTAAAATGCCTCTTCGTCTTTCCCTAGAGGCTTCTTGCATTGCCTCCACCTGCAGTAGAATCAAACACCCATTTATTGACTAAACCCACTGCCAACTGGCATTAAGAAAAGTTTCTTCTATCAAAACAGTATTCTACTCCAGGACTTTGTCTGAAAAGCAACAGAATTTCAACCCTTAAAAAGTAATTTAATACATGCAGATGTTGGAGCCAAGGATAAGACTGAAAGAGCAAGATCACACTGTTTGAAAAAAGCAACATAGTCAATAATTACTGAAGCCTGTTCTGGCTGTTGCTTTAGTACCCAAGTCTCGAGCAAGAGTCCCGGCAGTGAATAGAGTGCATCTTGACCACGTCCTATCCATGTATGGTTGTATTTGCCAGCTGCAGAACAGTATTTAAGAAAAGTTACACAGTCAGTGACCTTATCATTCATTTTGCTGTGTTTCTGTTGCCAGCTGACTTGACTGAACGGCACAAACTTTCCAGCTACTGAGCAGATCCTTGCAGTGTGCTGATTTCTGAATGCATCACACATTAAAGATATAATTTCTGGCACACTCAGGAAGCTCCTTTTTTCTGCACAGGCTTGTCTTGGAGAGCAGAAGGCACTTTTTTTGTATAGATGTGCCATGCATTCGAAAATGCTGAAAGAAAACTGCAGTCTGCATGACAAAAAGGATGCAAAGCAGAGCAGATTAAGGGCAGTGCAATGTCAAATCAGAAAATGAACCATCAGAGGAGGGATGGTTCAGTCTTCAGCTAGGAAAAAAAATAACAAGAGAAGCCATCTCTCTGTACTTTTGTGAAACGTATGCAACTACTGTGTACTGAAGAAAACAGAAGTTGCTTGAGAACCCTGATAAATCCTTCTTAGCAGTCCAAACTGCACATGAGAAAGATGGACTGAATTCTGCTTTGCTGTGGTCACGTAAACCCACTGGGATTTTTCTGACTTCAGGGAGCATACGGGTAAATACTCCTATTTATTATAATTGCACATCTAATTAACCACTTTACAAAGGTGGGCACGGAGGAACATCAGACTGCTAACAGGGGACCCCCAGCATGAGTCTTCATTGCTTTCTGTCCAGTACTGCAGGATTTCACAAACAGTCCAGGAAGAAAAAACACAGTAACAGATGTCTGCTCCAGGCACGTAACCCCTTCGGCTCTAAGGAGTTTTGGCTAATAGAACAGCTTCATCCCAGAAGCAAATGAACAGCCACTTCGTACATCTTATGTTTCATTCTATTAAGAGGTATAATGAAATGCAACACATAATTTTCTGTAATTTATCCCTTTTTGCTACCACCTAGCCAAGTTACATGGCGTTAAATCTTCTAGCTTATGCCCTCTTCCCATCTGCCACTTTATTTCTATCTCCCCTTCTTGTTTCTCTCCACACATTTTTTTTTTGTGTTATTTACTTTTTATTCAGCTCCTCTCTGCGTTAGCCTCAGCATTAGGCAGCCTGAAATGCAGGCAGCGCCGCTACACCACTGCTACAGTAGAAAACAGGCAGCAAGAGAGCGTCAAGCAAAAGCCCCTGGAACCCGTCCTAAATTAACGATGGCTCCAGGAAAACGATCATTCTCCTGCCAGCGCAGAGAAGCCACTCATCAGTGCAGGAAAAACAGTGCAGAACAAGCCTGAGCGCAGAAAGCAGCTGGGGGAACGGGTATCCAACACTGCTGGGCTTAACGTGTACCAGAGTGACAATGGAAAAGGCATTTGGTCTTCTCAGCAGCTCCACGTGAAATGTTCTGACCGGGCTGAAACAGAGATGCTGAGCACTGATAAACTCGGCCTGCTGGCAGGCACGTCACCGCATCCCCTCTCTGCCCACGCGCCACGGGGAGATCACGCTGTTCCCCCCAGCCAGGCGGGGCTCGGCAGGGGAGTTGTCAGCCTTGAAGCTTCAGGAGCTGAACCAAATGCCAAATTTAGGAAGAGACTTCCAGGATGGCTGAAGAAAAGCCAGCTGACAAGGTTTCTTTGCAACACCAGTGCTGAGTTTCATGCCCATGTTCTTATCCTTCCTGCTATTATAAAATGTTCTTCCGTTATTGGAGTGAGCAGCTGCGATACAGCAGTTCCATGTCTTTAGCTGTATGACACTTACAGGAAAATCCCCATCTTACTGCTGTGCAACAGACCCAAACAGCGCCAGAACAAGGTCTAAACTGCAACAACTAGGTGAAGATTTTAGTAGGGTCCCAGAATCAGCTCAGCAGCTTGCTGTGGGGAAACCGGTGCTACACCTCCTGGCTTCAAAGTGCATGAGAAAGCTGCTTCGTCCTAGACATGCTTATGCAGCACTCCTGGACACCCGGGCTCAGAGACAGCCAGCAGTGTGCTGGGAGAAAAAAAAAAAACAAAAACATAGATACGTATGCATAAAAAAAACCCCTGATGTGCGTTGCCCACATCAAGAACTTCCATTGCACGGCGTTTGTTTCCTCCCAGTGGACCAGCGTGTTACTGCAATGCTGGCCGCCTCCATTTGACATTATCCATTAGATTAACGGTGCTTGAATTAAACATGCAGGAAGTAACGTAATTTACAGCCACCTCCTCAGGCATGCCAGTTCTAGAGTCACTTGAATACTTGACATTCAGACTATTCTGGTGAGTGACAATCAATTACCACAGCAGCAGTACTTTAATTTGTTCACCTTCCTAGTGAACACTTATATGTTAAAAAAATAACAATGTAGAACAGGAATACAGTTTTACTCTGGGACAGGAATCCTTCACTGCTTTAATATGAAGGATTTATACCACATTTCCATGTAGGAATTTCAATGTGACGTGAAAACCACATTTGTAAAAATTTCTTTACAGTTAAAACGTGGCAAAGTTCTAACCGATCCACTTTGTATTTTAAAGATTGAGGGAAACACTGAAGAATGGAGATTGCAGAAAACACCAAAGCCCGCCAGCACTCAGGCCATCAGAACAAGGTAGCCTATTATGGTACTAAAGAAAAAAAATGAAGCGTTCTCTGGGATGCTCATCAAGACTGATGGCAAGTTTGTTTACTCAAATTCAAGTATCTCTTTTCACTATCAAACAGCTCACATATGTAACAGGACCTTTTGGGTACAGAAAATTGTACGTGCATCAAAATAAAATTTAACCCCTATGTCAACATTTATAAATGACACTTCGCCAAAACAAGCTCACCAGGATGTGAGCCAGTAAAGACTCAGCTCCTGAATCTTTGCTTCCCAGGAAGAAAGACTTCTCATTGAAGCCCGCTTCCCCAATACCCAAACTCCAGAAAATGTTTTATTGCCAAACTCCGGGAAATAGTTTTATGACTTGGGAGACTCATCTGAAACTTCAGGAATTTATCTCTCAGCATTAATGCAGTTTTCAGTGAACTTTTATTCCTTAAAGAGCAGCCAGGCTTTCCTGCTAACAGGGAAAAAAGTCTCAGAAGGAAAACCCAACCTAGACACAGGTTTATGATTACAGTAGCATCGGCGTACAGCACTACCACAGTGTAACTCTCCCTTGAAAAAAACAGCGCACCATGAGATAACACAGACGTTACAACCTCGAGATTAAGATGAGCTCAAATGTGTATTTGACAAAAATAACAGAAATATCCAGTGTCATATTCTAATAATACAGAAATAACTTTGTTTTGGATAAAATAAATGTATTTGATAATTTAAGGTTAAAAGAACTTTCCATATGCGTCAGTACTTGGCCAAGTAAAAAATATCAGTTCCTTTACAGTCAAGACAGGAAGAAAAGATAGAAACTGAGCATATTCGACTGCAACTTCTTACAAGTAGATGTCTCTGAGACAGTAGCTGCCCCTGCTATAACACTCCACCTGCACACCTTCTTTCTCTACCTCTGTGCCCCTTCTCTACTTTTTGTGCCTTCTGCCAAAGTTCAGACCAGTCAGCTGAAAGTCCCACTCTGAGAATATGCAAAACATTTTCTTCAATCTTAACCAGTCATACCAACAACAATCTTTAAAAAAAAAACCAAACAAACAAATGAACACCAAAAACACCTCTACTGCCCCAATCATCTGGAATAATCCTTAAGGGTCCAGGTTGAAATGTCAGCTGCTTTAAAGGGCTCTTTTTCTAGCTCTGAGGTAGTCTCTCTGTCCCAGGACATTGAGAGCTCAATCTTACACAGGCTGCAATTACACAGGGTTGAATACAAAACTGCCCTCTGCCGCCCCACTCTTTGGGTTTTGCTTGTTAATAAATCAAAGCTATTTAACTGAAGGAAACCAACGTGACAGCCATTAATGCAACCATGTCAGACAAGGCTGACAACTGCCATACAAAAGGAGAGCAAGAGCTCTCCTTGTCTCATCCTTCCTTTCCCCCTTGTTTCTAGCTGTCACTAAAGCCTTTCCTTTTCCGTGTCCGTTCTTTTGGTAAAATTAGCTGAACCACATTAACGGTTAGCCCAGGGAGGCAGGAGTTATTTAAGACACGTGGAGCCTAAGGCCACTTAGTAAGAAAGGTGTGCCTCCTCCCTCACAGCAGGAAGAGTCCTCCAGATCGAGCCAGGGCATTGAGGAAGCAGACAGTAATGATGGGTGGGGTTTACGTTATTTTAGCCTCTGGAATAAATATGGCATAGCCTCCCTCACAGATGTGTCCTGTGGTCTGTGGAAGTTAGCTTCACTGCTAGAGACCACAAGTGAAACTAAGGCTTTCTAGCAGCAAAGACAGCCCTGCCACCCCTGCCCATCCCTCTTTGAGCACTTCCTATCATTCCACTTGTCTATTAAGAAAGCTCTTGCAGACGCCATCTTCCTAATCCTACTCAAGACAGTCTGCAGTTCTGGCAGTATGTTCTTGGTAACATGCAGTAGCAGGGTCAAGTTTCAACACTGCTGTAAAATCAAAGCTAAAGCTGCCCTTTAGCCCCATCTCGCTATAAGCCTTTTATGTTGTCTGTCCGTAGTTAGCAATTTTGAATTTGTTCTTTTACAAAAGCCACACACAACAGTAGTGTAATAGGCCAAGTGTGACACCTGCAGAAAATGCAGCATAATCAAAGGTTAAGCAGCATCTTGGCATCGTGACTTCTTTCCTGCCACTGTCTTACACAGAAGTCTAGCCAGACCTGTGACTTTAGAACCTCTCCAGGATTTTAGGATCTACCTTTTGAACACACATTCTACTGAATAGCCTCAGAGTACTACACACGCATTTGAAAATAATGTAATACCTATTTTCTGATGAAGTACATTCTGTGTGTCATTTTAGTTTCATACTCAATGAGAAGGTACTCACACTTTACAGGACAAAAAATTTAAACCATGATTATTTAGTAAGTTATGTACTGTAGTGATTAAAACAAGACAAGCACCAGAGAAAATACACATGCTGAAGCCTTATGTAGATGCTATACGGGAAAGTCTTCAGTGACATGACAAAGAATTTGTGGTTTTTCCCCCAATCACAAGTGAGCAGAGGGTTTGTCAGACATTCGTTCTGTAGCTTCTACTGTCCACTCTATGCCTCCTTCCTCTTGATGATCAGTGGCCCAACGTTGTCACCAGTTTCCTCGTTGTGCTTTGTGTGAGAGCCATCACACAGCGGGAACTGCAAAAAGAAAGAATAAACACATCTAAAGTATATCCAGAGCCAGAGTTAAGAAACTAGATTTAAAGTTCATTAGAACTCATTAAATCCACTGTGACCCCAGACCTTAATTTTTGTGCTGGTATCTGGGGTCTCCCTGACTTTTGGCTGAACACTGGTTTTGTCCATGCAGTGCAGAGCAGGTGAGAGGCTTGTTACAAAAAAGCAGCAACTCAACTCCACTCTGTTTGGTGTTCCTGCCTCAGGCCAGCACGAGGAAAACAGCTCAAACTGACCTTCAACTGAAACCTACATAGAGTATCTCACTCTCAACCTTGCCCCACACTCTGTTTTCCTGGGCAACAGCCAGAATAGAGTGCAGTTCCAGAAGGTAAGTGGGGTGAGGAAGAGAAACAGGAGATCCTTAGCCGATTTTTTTTTCCCTGGTTTTCTGTGGCACATGAGAAAAAAAGACAGTTTCCCTGGTTCATCTCTTAAATAAGAGACACACCTACGTATCAGCCCTGTCTCCAGACAGTTAGAGGCACAAGCCACCTTTGCTTCATCCTGACCCAGCTTATCTCATTGACACAAAGGCCCCTTTGTGCAAGCTGGCTTCCATGTTAGGATTCTGATCTGCTAATGGCAATAAACTGCACTTCTAATTGACATGGCTATTCATCAGGAGTTTTAAGGGTAGCACCGAGGAAGTCATGTGCAGAAACATTTGGGAAAAAAACAACAACAAACCAAAAACTAGAACTGCCTGGTCAGAGCAAGACCAACAGGGATTCCTTCAGCCAGCTGTGAGTGCCCAGGTCCCAGGCAGTGACAACTACTCTGCTCCTGGGCAGGTCTTTTCATGTGCAAGAGCAAAAGGATATTCTGTAAAGCAACAATAGCGAGGTTAGATGCCATCACTCCTCAAGGGTGTGTTTTCAGAGCTATGCCTCCTCTGCAGAGAAAACTCTGGAGACGATCACAGAAATCACACACCTGTATTTTGCATTCAGTTACTATTTTGTTTGCTTAGAAGTAAAGGGAATCCAAGTTGGACATTACTCAGCTTTTGCCTTTGCAACAGCAACATTCCCTTGCAGTACAATCAAATAGTCTTTGACAGGCCCATGATTTCAATGTTCATGCCTTGGTCACAGCACTTGAAAAAAATTAACCCCCCTATCACCCATGCTTAGTTAGAATAAAGGATTTCAAAGTACTGCATGAAAACAATATAATGAGGACAATATACTTGCAAAAAAATTTCCTAGAGCTCTAAAAATAAAGCCACATGCCCTGCAGGGTAGGGTTTTTTGGCAGCAAGGGTTTGTTTTTCACAGTTACAAAATGTCAAAACCCATGTTATAAGCAGCAGGTGATGTTTCCAAATAAAGAAATCCTGAATTTGGAGAATACTCATGTAAGCTGATTCATGCAGGAATTTTATCATCACATCAATCACTTGTGACTCAATGAGTAGGTAATGACAGATGCTTGGGAAAAAAAAAAAAAAAATCAAAGCAAAGATGTTTATGGGACACTGACCAGGCTTCCAACCCAGATGTTCCTGGGCCAGTTTTTCCAAGCAGCAGAGTCTGCTGGTCTTCACAGAAGCACTGACCCAGCTTCCATCAGACAGTGTGCCCCAAGGAGGCAAGGCTGAGGTCCAGCTACAGCATCATCATCACTTCAAGTTTGCAAGTGACAAAAATGGTGGGATTCATAAGCTTTAGACAGCAGAGAAATCTAACAGCTACTGACTCTGCTCTGAATTCATCATCTGAGTCAGCTGGTCTCAGAACCACTGGCTCCCAGAGGTTGGGACACTAGACTTGAGCTTCTCAGAAAAAAACCACCACTTTTGGAGGGCACCCATTTGGTCATATAGAAGACCAGATACTGAGTAGATAGATCCTGGACCTGACAACATGTGCATCCTTGATTAAGATAAAGCAGGCTAGCAATAGTGGCCAAAGCTCAAACCCTGAGGGAATTGTGCAGTGATCTGGACAGCTCAGTCTATTTCCCTTGACACTGAACAGTTTCAGATTCTCTACAGCTCTTTCTTCTGATGTTCTGCAGCAGTATTCCTTGACCTGCAGCCTGGGGACTAGTACGTCTCTGGAAGACATAGAGGTTGCAGGTCATTGCTAAAGAAAGCAAATCCATTTATTTTCCCCACAGTTCATACACTTAAAAATGCAGAAGAGTAAGAAAACAAATATTTTAGCTTTTGACTACAGTTAGGTTTTAAGACAAAACTCTTGCCTCTACACTGGTAAATTTGAACACTGGGTTTTTCCATACAACTTGACAAGCAGTGCTGTGAAGTGTCTGCAGAGCACAACGCTGAGTAGGAAAGGGCCATTTAAAGAACTACCTATCACCTATTTTAACAGTTAATTACATCCCAAGACAGACTTATTTGAAGATGCCACATTTGTTGTTGTAGGGTTTTTTAAACACATGCACTCCACAAAGACTTTGGCCACCACAACCACACACACAAAGCCCATTAAGTGTACTATTTCAGAAAAAAAAAAACAACCAAACAACTGAAAATAATCCTTCTCATTAAGAGTTACTCCAAAACACCCTGGTATAGCCCAACTGTCTTGTTATTTCCCATGCAGGAAGGCCACCATGTGAGGCCAGCTGCAGTGCATCCACACCGTCTGTGCACACCAAAGTATCTGCTGGTTCATAACACTACTGGTGCTATCAACAGCCTCAGGTGAGGCTAAATCTAATGAGAAGTGCTCACAGGGTCATAGACAGGGACATTCCTTCTAATCTGTATAGGGAATAGAGATCCCCACACATCACTTAATTAACAGAACCACAGCAGGTTACTTACTGCTTACTTACTGTAAGTCCCTGCATTGGAAGCATACACATTCTACGATTTTGGCATCATATAAACAACGTATTACAAATTTTAACAGAATCTTAGTTTGAGAACTGTAAAAAACAGGGTAGGTAACTACTACCAAAAATGACAAGCATGTGAGAAGGATCAAGAATATCTCTGTATTTTATTACTGCTTGGCAGTAACTGAACATAAGAAGCACGCACACCATCTTAAAGATCATGCTACCCACCATACACAGTGAACCGATCAGGGCAAGAGGGAGGCAGCAAAACTGGGAACTGCAGTTTTTGGAGAAGAATATGCCAATTCAAACACTCATTATTAAGCATCAGTAAAAGAAAAATACCTTCAAAATTTTCTACCTACCTCCTTAA